ATGGTAATACCTCCTTACCCTGCAAAAGGTTAGTCTTTACAAGTTCTGTTAGTCTCTTTAATACTATTTTCTCCTCCTCAATTTCTTTACTGGAAAAAAAAAACCCTCTTAATGACTGATTAGTGTGCTGTGTGAAGAAAGTTGCATTGCTTTTTCTTAACTTTTGTAAATGAAATAATAAATCAGACTAGTGAACAAGTGGGTCTATGCATAGTTGCAATATTCTAACTGATCACTGTGACAGACTGGATCGTCTGGAAAGTTAGGAGAAAATATGAATTATTTCTGAGTTACTTGCCAAGAAAGCATTGAATTTCCAAAAGTAAAGTGGTGTGGTTTTGTTTCAGACTCCACGTATGTAAAAAAGCCACATCCCATATTTTCAAATAAGCTATAGAGAAGTGAAAAATACTATTTTTAATCAATTACCTATCCAGTAAGAATACTAAGGATACTCTGGAAGTATTAAGTGTGTATATGAGAATGTGAAGTATGTTTGTCCATTATGATTTCATGAAGGGATTTCAGGGGAGCTCTTTGAGAATAGTTTAGAAGAATTTCAGCTCAGAATGTGAGATTTTTCTATGTTACGGGAAGTGGAAAAAAACTTCTTTGGGGCATCAAGTTGATGGTTTTTATAAGTATGGAAGGGGGCAGGAAATTGTCATGTTTTGGGCTAGCAGAATCAAGTGGTAAAATTGAGGAGAGAGGTCTTTTGAGGTGTTTGGTGAGAGCATAGTTTTCCTTTTGTCACTTGCAGAGAGAGGTTCTCGCATAAGGGTTTGAAAACATCCTACTGTGGGTTAGGTTTGTTTATACAACAGTTGAATTAATGATTTGAGTAGTTTAATGGTAAAGAATACTGGATACACTGTGTCAATTTAAGTAAAATACAATGTAGTTGCAATAACGGGATAAAAGAGCTTATGGTGAAGAGCTTTGACATTTGAATACCATCGTTTCAGTGCGTCACAAGCATTAGGTGTTCTTCACAAATATGTAGGAGGGGTTTAAATGTGGACAGTTCTCAGGCTTTCAAACTCGAGGCTAGTTTGTGCTCAGCACAAAGCAGCAGCAGCAGAATGAGGAGGGGAACAGGTCAGCTCTGAGCCGCTTCATGCTTTATACAGAATGGAACATCGGTTGCCTTTTGATCTTTTATCTGGCCCTTGAGGATGGGAGGTATACACTGGCACACGCTTAGCGTTCTTGCTAGAGGCCCTCTGGAAAGACCCCCATGGGTTTGAAGGTCTGCACTTCGCCTTCATCTAAACCAGCTTTAAATGAAAGATATAGATCCTAAGTGCGAGCATTAGCTGGTGTATTGTTTATTTTGGTTTTAACTTACACGAATAAGTCTTTAAAAGTAGAAAATAATTTTTCTGATTAGCTGTTTAGGTTGGTTGAATTGCAGTCTGTTATGCAGTGCACTGTGAATTAGTGAGCTGACTTTGGTAATTCTTTGATTTCCTCAAGTCAATAAAACTTAGGATCACATTTTGGTTTTCATGTAGTATTGGTGAAATAAGAATCTCCTTTGTTTTTTGAACTGAGATTTATTTAAGTGTAAAAAGTAAAGCCGTAAGATGTGAGAATTCTGAGTAGGAATTCAGAATAAACAATTCTTAAGTGAGTTGTTTCATAACACTACATTTGTCAAGATCTTGGTGGTATCTTCTTACTTTTAATTGTTAGAACGACCCTAATGATATTTATCAAAGTTTAAGGTATGCTTACTTTTGAAGCTGAGTGAGTAAGTAGGAGCGTAAATATATATATATACGTCTCTAAAAGAAACTAAAAACTGACTCTTTTCGTACCTGTATATAAATGAGATCAAGTAGTTAGCAGTACTGAGTAACTTCTCCATAGCAGTTTTGAACTTGCATACCAAAGGAAGATATCTAGAAGACATATGTCCTTTATTTCAAGTAAAATGTTTGTTAAATTTCTCTTTAACAATTTACTTATAATTCCTGATAGTATTTTTAGTTGTCTTTATCTGTAGTAAAGAATCTCATCCAGTCTGTGCAGTTTTTGTACTGTATCTGTATGAGCATTCAGAAAGTGAAATGTTTGCTGTTCAAGTTAGCATCTGACTTACGTGAATTATTCTTTGTCAATATACTTGTTATCTAATAATTATTCATGGGGTATCTAGAAACCACATCTTCTATCATCCATGTACCCTACCAACACCAGGACAAAACAATAATCCCAATCTTAAACTAACTGCGCTTCTGATGGTTAATATACATTGTGGAAATTAGGTTTAAGGAAGCCTGTTTGATTTAAAAAGAAAAAAACCCAACCAGTAACACCCACCTACACACATTACAGTTGTCTTGCTGATCTGCAACATTGATATAAACAAGCTTTTTTCCCTTGCTATACCTTAGATCATAAATATTGTTGGAAAACAGGTTTATCAAAGTCTTTACAGGCTTTAAATAGTGTAGTCAATTGGCTGTTTTATAAGGATCCTCTTTAAAGTTGTATTTTTGTGTCCTTTAAATGAAGTGCAAAGAACTGATTTTCTGCACTGTAAAAATCCTGTGTGGGACTAGTAACAGTTATACATAAGTCTGCTTTAAGATAGTCCCGCAGGAATGATAAATTTATTTTTATTTTTAATGCACAATAATTAGGGTAGGTCTTTTAACTCTTGCCTTAGTCAGTGGGAGCTGTATACCTCACTTCCTAGACCATGTCTCCCTGCTCCCTGTTTCCTCTGCAAGTCTTTCCCAATCTCAGTTAACAAAATCATTAGAAAATATGTGCACAGCAACCAAATGCTTCACAAAGCTTTTACAGTGTATGTGTAGTTAGTTCAAAATGTGTATCTCTGTACAGATTATGGTATGGTAGGGAGCTTTAGAGCTAGGGAGGGGGAGTAGAGGAGGTGTCAGCCTCCTTCTGCAATATTTTTTTTTCCCTTTCAAAGACTAAAAAAAAAAAAAGCACATACAAATGCATATCCTAATGTGAACCTAAGGTCTGATCTAATAAATACTGTTAGATGAAAGCACTACATGGGTTATATTTAGCTGGGTGGAAATTGAAGTGTGTGCTTCCTTGCTTTCTAGAATGGGCTTTCCATGCTTTTTGGTTTAAAAGCTATGTCGGTTTCAGCTGTAAACATGACATTTGTTAGTAGTCTCCTTTTGAGGAAAGTAATAGTTTATGTGCAGTTGTACACATGTGGGTTCATGGTATACCAATGTTAGACTCGACTGAAGTGTTTGGAAGATGTCTTTCCTTCCATCCCAAGGAGCCAAATCCTCCTCATTATTCCTAATTGCCCTTGTTAGCACATACAAGGGTTTTCTGAACTGCAGCTGAAAAAAAAAAAAAGGAGGAAAATACTGGTGTCCCCTTCTTTGCTATTATAGTCATATTATAATAATCAGATGCCTGAATGCAGAAATGCCTCTGAGTGGCAGCATAGCATGCTCTGCACAGTTTGAGTTAAGTGTTACTCATCTTACTGCAGTCTTGAACACCCCATATGTGAGGAACTTCTTGTACTGCTTAATCAAAGGTACCCTTTGGTAGGTTTTAATTCACCTTTTTGCTGTGCATCTGTGGAAGAAAACTGGTGTGTTTTTCTTTTAGTTACCATTTACCCAAATGTCCCAGATAAAATTTCTTTTCTTCAGGAGAGAGTTCCTCCAGTTGTGTGTTCTTTCTATTTTTGTCTACTGGACTTCGGAAATTTGGCAAGTATTTCCAGAGCTTAGGTCTGTGATTATACTCAGCACAGACACAATTTCGTAACACTTCTTCTGTCCCAGAAGCATGATTGTCAGTATAGATTATGGTTTAAAGCTGCTAAGGTGTTTTGAGATTGACCTATAAAACATCCAGCCGTATATATCATAGTTATAACTGAACTTAGGGGCCACTTGTTTATTTAGCTTCCTGTCTAGTCAGTATTTTCCTCTTGAGGGAGCCATATTTTTTGCCTTGAGGTAACTTTTGAAAATAATCTTAGTCTTGCACCTGACAGTACTGCTTTAGTGAGTAGCTGTGAGCGGTTGCTTAAAGACACGAGGGGAAAAAACATTCAAGGAAAACTTATGTGTTCTGATTCAACCCTTCACTATGCAGGAGCAGCTTAATATAAGATTAGAGAAACACTGTTTGTAAGACTTACCTCCCTTTGGTCAGAGTTTTAATGGAAGCTGTGATGCTACTCAGTTTGCGTGATGAATTTTTACTAAAGCTAATGAGGGAGTGGAAGCAAAGGCCTTACAGTGACAGTTAACCATATCTTCTGATAATTCTTACAGATTGTGCAATTATGTGATTACAAATGGATTTTTAAATGCCAAAAATGCCTTTTTTTAGAAGTTAAATGTTGGATCTGAGGAGTGTTGGAAATACCTACTTTCAAAAATAAGCCTTCAGGCACTCTAATGAACTTGCTGTCAGTCTTCTGTGCAATATCTTTTTCCCTTTTGGGTGCTTTAAGAGTATACTGTATGTCTTATTTTGGTTTGATCAGTTTGTTTTAAGAGTGTGTATATTGGCTAATGATGGAATTTTTTTCTGTACAGCATGGTGGAAGATGTTTTAAAATTTTGCACTTTTCTAGGATTTGCAAGTTTGTAACCTGACAATTTTTAACATGCACACTTTTGTACATAATGAGCATTGTATATATTTAACATGAGTCTGAAGCAAATAAAAGTAATTGAATGCATAACTTCTCCCTTTATTAATAACACAGAAATGAAACTAATAGTGTGGGAGTACACTAAACTTTCATTTAGCAGGTAAAGGTAGGCAGCAGGAACAGCTGACTCGGTGTCCTCTCTTAATTGTGTTAAAGTAACTTTTTTTTTGGTGGGGAAGGGATCAAAGTGGATACATGAATGTACAGACCCTTTCAGACTAAGAATAGCTATGCTTACTCAAGTATTACAATAAAAAATTGCCTTTTTCCTGGGAAGGAGAGATGTTTGACACATGAATTAGGGTGGGGGAAAAGAACCTGCTAATGCGTATTTATCTTCCGTTACAAAGCTAAGGTTCTCCTCTTCTCACCCACCCTGAGACTAGAAGCATCTCTTTCCTTCCTCCTCATTCTCTTCCCATATAGTGATTTTTGCTGAAGAATATGCAAGGCTACAGATTCTGGAGATTACTGTCAATCAGGAGAAAACTGAAATCTGTTCCAGGCTCATGTTCAGTTGGTTTCTTACCCCTGTAAACAAGACAAACGATGCTGTGAGCTTTAACAGGCGCTAGGACTACTGTGCTTCCATCTGTTACTAGGGATAGAACAAGGCATCCTTACTCATAACAAGCAGAGTTTTGACTCCCTTCCTTGCCTGTATCAGGGAACATACATATTACATTTCTTAGTAATGTTCATATGACTAAAGACAGGAGTTCCCTTGCTCTAGAGTTCAATGCATGAGGGCCAAACTGGCATTCCTCCGGCCTTCAGTAATAGAGCTGACTACTTGGGGCTCCTCCTGTGAACAGTAACTATAGTTCAGAAACATAAGCATCAATGGATATAATGCCATAGCACTTACTGGGTAAGACAGACATCCTTTACAGTGCTGTCCTACTGCTTCCTCCTCTGGAGCATAAAGCAATACTCATGTTTTCCCCAAAGAGAAATGGAAGCAAGGGATTAAGTAACTTCTGATGTGGGGGACAGGCAGCATGTGCCCAGAGTCTAATAGAGTCTCTCTTCATTTCTGTCTGAAGGAGGATATCAGTTCAAATGAAGCATTTACCTCAAAAACAGACGTGCTCCTGTCACTCCTTGCAAGGTGGCTTTGTCTCCTTCCACTAGCAGCATCGCACCTTCCCGCAAGCCCTAATGTAGTTGGAAACATTTAACATTATTTTCAAGCTATTTGAAAGGCTAGAATGCTTGTCACAAGCAGGCCAGTCTTAGTGCAGCTTTCCATGACTACAGACAAGACTTTCTCTCTCACCTATTTCTAACAAAGATGCCAAGACAAAATTAGGTGAGTTACCTTGTTTTAGAAGCTGGTTTTCTTGTTAATTTTATTTTTCACTTTTAAAGGAGAAACCATTAAGGAGAAAAGGAAAGTGTGTTTTTTCCACAATTGCTTCTGCTACCACCATTCCTAGATCCAGTTTGGGCCAAGCAACAGCCAGCTGGGTCTGTTAGAGCACAAAATTTATACTCCAACCTCAAGTACAGGGACAGGAAACCCAGAGGTCCCACTTCCCAAGACAGACATACTGTAATTACGAACATACTACTGAATGAGCAAATTCAGAAACCTACGGACATTAAAACAAAATGCAAAGTTAAGAATATGTGCAAAAATATTAAAGGGAGGCATCTTACCTTCTGCATGCACACCACCTCCCACCATACAACATATGACTGTGGCCAGTGACTGGAAAGATCAGAGCTGCCTAAAATACAGTGTTTGGCAACAGGACTCCAAGCATCTAATGGGCAGAATGCATTTCATTTGTTCTAACCCATTTTCTGCAAGTGAGCAAAATCCAAGGTTGAAGCTCTTAACAAGACTATAACTAGCCTTCCATGCCACAGTTCTGTAAGGCTTGTCAGGCACGGAAACCCACACAGAAAGCTAGCACGAATGCATTTTAAATGTTTACCATGCTCCAGCTGTAAGCTTCCTGACTGGGAATACTACTCACCAGAACTGGAGGGGTGTTTGGTTCTTCATGATACTGGCGAATTCTTTCCTCTCTTGTCTCCTGCAATAATGAGTGTAGATTTAGCTGCCCAGGCAGTAAGGTAGGACTTAGAGCTATCCAAATACCATAACACTGAGCAATTTCATAACGCTAAACAAAGCAGGCACTTCCCCTCAAGCAGAATAGAGTAGCAGGATTGACTTTAATAGATACATATTTTACCCTCCATCTCTAGCAGCAATTGCTGCAGGTTGATCAAACAAAACTCACACAATCCCAACCCTGAAAAGCCTTAAAACTCACTTCCAGCAATTCATCCAGCTCTTGGTTTGGTTTTGTTTTGTTTTTAAATGCTATCTGTATGTGCTCACCCTCAGAACAAGAGCACTGAGGCAGGAGGTGGAAGCAAATGCCCGAGATGCCACTTTCATGAAAAAGGGTAGTGAACCATGGATTTCTACTGATTAAATATCTGCTTATTTGTCCTCAAGTAGGTATTACATTGAAGAAATTCCTTCTGTGAACAGCTCTGCCATGTTTCCTGAGGGTTTGCTGCTGAACTGAGCAACAGTAGTTAAAGAAATCAAACCAGAAGGATTTGTTGGTAAGGAAACACAGGAACACAGCAGGGACTTGGTACACCACAGAGCTTCTAGTCTTCTCTTGGAGAAATAGCAAAAGTTATTTATAGGGAAAAGACTGCCTGCTTATCTAGTGACAAGCTGACTAAATGAATACCTACAACTTCATTTAAATTCTAGAAGCACACCCTGATCCTCCATCTCTTCATTGCCTTAATACTTCCTCTACCCATGAAGAAATTTTGATTACAAGCAAGAAAGTAATTGGGCTGTTAAAAGATGCACAGCAGAAACTGTTCCTTGAGAAATTAGCTCCTCAGTACAGTAGAGATGTGCTTGACGGTTAAAGTGTTTTCCTTCACCTATACTAGTATATGTGCTTGCTCAGTACTGGAGATTGCAGGGTGTGCTCTCTGCAAGGACACTAGTGCCTAGGTATTTTCTTACACAAGATTGCCTGCAATCTCAAGATTGGTTCCTTTAGATATGTAAACCTCTTAATGTATGTTTAATGTAAGTTGTCTCAAGCAGCAGGCAAGACAGACTATGGCAGGACTTTCCAGAATCACACTGCATTACATCTTACCATTTAAATTTTTTTTTTTTCCTCCTTCTCCCCTCCCCCTCCCCCAATTCCATGCCAGGTATGAAGCAATTTCAGTATTTCAGATACTGCAAAGCTTCTGTTTGCGAAAAACACTTTGTTCCACCTCAGTAATACTGTTGCCAACTCCTCTTCCCACTCAAAGTAAAATATTACTGCCTCGCTGTCATTTCCAGTTGCTCTAGGGAGCAGCTGTTAGGCATTCTATAGCTCTGTAAGGCCTCATGAATGCACACTGTTGTTACACCTGCACGCTGGTTACTGTGTTAGCTTTGGCATGCTTTACTTACACCCATGTGAGTACTTTTAACGTCTGGGTCCAGGTAGTGGGGGTTAATATTAAAAGGAACTAAACCTAGGGCCTGCAGGGAAGGTGGATAAACAATTGGCATGTCATTGGTAGTATTGATGCTGATGGTGGCAACATTAGTTCCTGCGCTGGATCCCATGTAAGGAATCCCATCCTGAAAGACAAAAGCAATTATTAGTATGCAGTATCACAACTCGGAACTGCATTTTATAGCAATTTCCATCAGTCTTAGAGATTCGGTAATCGGATCAGATGTAGTCCTTCTAGCTCATCTCACTGCTAACTTTACAGATGAAAAGCAGAAGAACAAGAATTCGGGTTTTGAGGTGGGCAAGTTTGTCTATGTCATGGTTGTCAGCGAACTAGCTCTTGTATGTCCTGTACTCACAACTCTGTGACCCCATCACAAGAGAGAACTTCTAAGGTTGCCAGTGCATGTATTGGACTTTGGTATTAAGATTAAGTCCTGTGCTGCTCTTCATTGGTATCTTGAGGGGCTTACTTCCAAGGTACTATGCAGCACTGTACATTCCAAGGTCTTACAGTCCCACATCTAGGAAACTGCCCTAAAAATACAGGTTGCTGACCTTAGTCTTTTCAGACTTCAGTCACTAATGACAGCCTTACTTGGCAGATTTCAGTTCACCAAGTTGCATGAGATGGATCAATATTTGAAGTATATTAGAAACAAAGATGTAGACTCAACTTGGATTTGTCTAAACAAAAGCTTATGCATGAGATCCTGCCATTCAGACTCTGCCCGAGTCCTGTAGTGTTTACCTCAAGAACTCTTTTCCTGATCTCCTGTATCAGACTGTTGTCATAGAGAGCCTTCAGGAGACGGAATGTGTTCCCACCTCCTGCAGAAAGAGAGTCCAGTTTTCACCACCAGTTTTAATTACAAATTTGGCAGGCTCATGATTTCTATGCTCTATTCAGGGTAGTATCCTGCTTTGAGCAGCAGTAAAACCAGAAGCTTCACAAGAATGGTCATTGAGCAGGCCACAGGCTCATGCCCTGGGTCCTTCTTGTAACACGGATGCTGGCTGTTCCAATACCCAGGAGCATGGTATTAGGACTATGTTCAGTTTGAGCACAGTAGCCCTGAAGCTGCTTAGACTTCATAAAGTGATGATACAGCTGTGATGATCATGTTAACATGAAGTACTGTTCAAATGAATAATTTGAACCTTGCTGGTCCATTAATAAATCTCTCCTGCTTCCCACCACCACTAAATTTCGGGTCTTACTGTTCCAAATTAAAGTACTGTTTTCTGTAGTTTCTAATAATTGCTAGACACAACTTTTTCATTGTTGCCTCTACAGCACCAGATCTGAGCAAGACTAATCCAGTGCCCTGTATAAACCCTTATCAGGGAGCAAGAAGTAAAACTTACCAATAAATATTGCTTCAGATTTCCTTACAGCTTCCACTGGATCACAAGATTCATGAATGCTGTCCAGCCTATAACCTTAAATGAATAAGTATTTAGCTTTGCCACTTCACTTTGGAGGAAGAACGTGGTATGTTCGATCACACTCTGCCCTCCCCCCACCCCAAGACAAATGTCCCGCCAGACAACCAGGGAAACTTCAGAGCACTCTACAACACAAAACAGAGTATATGTCCTACATTAGTGCAGGGCTTCTGCATCCAGCTGTACCAAAGCAAATGTTTGCTTTATGGATATATGTGCTCAGTGTCTAAGAGCATTTCACTTAGCAGGTGCAGGCTGAGGCATGAAGTCCTACTGAGCATTTCCAGCTAATTAGAAAATAAAAGATGGGAAAAAGCTGTCAGTCTTCAGCTTGGCTGTGACTCTGACCAGGATGTGCCATCATTGGTCTAGCATTAGTAGTACAAATATCTGATCTGAGTATTTTTTTGGTAATGGTTGAACTGTCTGGCTTTGACAGATTTGCCTTGCTGGGGTTCACTGAGTACAGGAAATGACAGGAGAGTCAGAAGAACATGGACAGGTGATAGCAGCAGTCTTTCTGCAAAACAAGGAGCAAAGTGTGCTGCCCAGAGAAGTGAGTACTGATTATTACTGCAGCAACAGGTCCAAAGTTATTCTCAACAGTGATAGATATTACATGGGGCTGTTGCTGTGGCTGCTCTGGAAAGGTCTTTGCTCAAAACAAAGCTCAGTTGCTGTTCACCCTGGAAATACCTGGCTGGTTGAAGTGCATTATAGTAATGATCTTCACTTAACACCAGTAGTTGCACAGCTTAAGCAGAGGTTTAAGAGGTATGGGAAGAACTGTTCCCCTGTGTGATTAAGGAGGATGAAAAGATGCCACTTAGTACTTCAGGAATAAAAACTTCCTCTCTGAAGTGGTTAGAAGTGTTGCAACAACATTTCTTCTGGAGGCCTCTAAAACATCCACTTCTAGGCAGGAGTTAGCGAACAGCTTCCTGCCGCTCTCACTGCCGGTGCTGACCGTCCCTTGCCGGCGTGCAGCAGAGCTAGCCAAACCCCTCTCCTCCGCTCTCTGCGGCGCTGCCCCCGCTCGGACCCCAGTAAAGCAGACTGGCGAGGAGCTGCTCGCCCAGAGGCGCTGACTGCCTCGGCCCCTCTTACGGCAGCGGTGTGCGAGTGCCCGCCCGGGCGCTGCCCAGCAAGGCCGGCACCGGCGGCGTTTCCGCGGGGGCTGCCAGAGGGGCTCGGCGCCCAGGGCGGGCCAGCCTTACCCAAGCTTTCAAACTTCTCCCTCGCGGTCCGGGCGTAGGCATCTCGGTCGTGCAGGGCGTAGGGAACGAACAGCACCCGCTTCACCTTCCTGGGAGAAGAGAGGGGAGAGAGCGCTTGGAGCCGCGGGAACGGCCCGGGGCAGGCTCCCGCAGCCCCTGCGCAGCGCTTACTCCCCGAAGAAGCTCTTGATGTGCTGCTGGCAGTG